TCTGGTATTACATCTCCCCTGGATAAACTACTTATTCATTGAGTCAAACTGGATTTCATTTCTGACACCAAGTCCCTGGGCAAAGTCGAGAGGGGAAGGAAAATACTCATTAGCATATGCAGAGTATAGAAATGCTTCCTGCCCACATATTCCAGGAGTTATATTCACAGAAAACCTCTGAGATTCTATTAGTGCACCAATTAATAAAACATTGGTGAGCAGGTTGCCTGCAGAGAGGGCTACACATGCTTGTTTATAGTTGACACATCACTCATCATCCCTGAATGGAGAACTTTGCAGAGTTGCAATTCTCTGGCTGCATATGAATGTGGCTGCAGTGGGGAGTCTGTTTATCAGAGGAATGTGCTACTGACTGATTTATAATCAAAGGAACCTGAAAAGAAGTGGTTGGTGCCCTTTCCCACAATCCGATAAGCTGTTACATACAGATAAGCAGTTGCATTGAATTAAGCACGTTTTGTCTGTTTTTCAATGTTAAATTTTAATTTCCTGTTCTTTTAATTTCTTAGGGCTTCATTGTAAATAATGCTAAGTGTTTTGAAATATGCATGGCCCTACAGCCTTAATCATAAATTCTGCTTTAAGGAAAAGGTAAATAGGAAATATTAATACAGTGTATTTAGACTTTACTCTAATTGATTTTTAATTTGTAATTCTCCAAGATTACATTAAATGTTACTTAAAGATGCCCTGTCAGAAGGCTTAAAGGAAAAACATTTTACATGACATTGTTGTCAGTCAACTTGTTTTTAAGATCTGTATATCTAATTTTTAAACATATGTAATATATGTAATAGATTGCTTTTTGAGTCAAGCATTTAATATCAATCACCATGTTAAAAGAAATCCATGGTAAACCTATTTTTAAGATTTTCACAAATGATGGAGATAGTAGAAAAAGATGAGTCCTTTTCCATCATTTTCTATATAAAAATATCTAAGTATTTAGTGTGGTATTTAATGGTAGGGATAATGTTCATTTGTTTACAATTATAGTTTATATCTTGGGTATCCAGCTCATGGCCTAGCACACATATAGTAGGTGTTCAATAAATATTTGATGAATGAATGCATCTCTGAAGCTTTGAAATAGGATAAAATGCATGTTCCTGATTTAGTATTCTCCTGATGTAAAACTTAAGGAAATGTAGGTCAACTTGGGGCCACATCTCTCCTGGCTTCATGGGGACCACCTCAGGTGCAAATTCCAAATACAAAGGCAGCATTTCCTCCTGCATGTATATAAAATAATTCCTATCGGTCAATCTATTGACAGTACTGTCATCAAAGAGCATAATAGGATAAGAGCATTTGGGATGATTAGGTAGGGAACGAAATAAAACAACTGACTTCTCTACTTTAATTTCCATTTCCTATACCATAAATAAAATAGTAAAGAATTGTTTGCAATAATTGTTGTGGATATCAATATTCTTTCAAGAAATATTTGTTGATTATCTTCCTGATTGCAGATACTATGCCAGGCCCTGGATACACAGAGATAAATAAAATGTAGCCCCTACTTGTGGAACAGGTAGACAGGTATACACTATTATTTTCAGTACAATCTGATGTTTCATTTGAGGTCTTGTTTGACTAAGAGCATTTTCTTAAGAGAGAATTAAGCTTTCCATAAACTATAAGGTCATTTTACTCTTTGAGTAGCCAAACTTTCCTCATATTCAAGAGATATCTACATTTTTTCAGATACATGGTAAGACTGTGTTGATGACCTTCTTTTAATTAACTATTCTCTTTTATTAGCCACATAAAACAATTATTTTATAGAGCAAATTTCTGCTTCTTTATCATTAGCAATAATGATCACAGTACCTTTTCCTTCCACGGCAGTTTTGCTTCAAAGGGAATTGCACAGAAAGATCAAAGAGAGGCCAGAAATTGATATGAAACAAAAAAAATTCTACTATAGTATCAAATTCTTTAAAAATTATTATTATTAGACTTTCTGGTCCCCTGTGGCAGATCTCCCAGAGAGGCTCTGGGTTAACACTGAGCATTCCAGTGACTGCTGCCGTCATTGCTGAGATTCACACCTAAATAAACAGAACAAAGTCCAGACGACTTGCGTGTCTCAAGAAAACAACCCATCACTTGCTCCACATGAAAGGAACAGAAAGCATGTGGAAAGCCAGATTTTAAAGGGCGCTGCTAACATGAGAAAGGAGAAATGTCAAAAATGTTGAAGTAAACATTGGACTAGTTCCCGTCTCAATTTTTTTGTTGCATTTCTTTTCTTCATACCTTAAAAACCCTAAGTGTTGTGCCACTTTTTTTATTCCCAAGGAGCAGACAAGGAAACAAACATGAATTATAATGGTAATAACAAATATTTCTTGAACTAGCTACAGCAGGAATATAAAGCAGAAAGTAAACAATTTGCCTGGGGAAGAAAGACAGGAAAGAATTCTTGGCCTTTCCTAGTAGTGACTGTTGAGTCTTAAATGATAAGTGGGTGTTTACAAGGCAAATGAGTGTAGAAGGTCATTCCCAGCAAAGGGAACAACATGAGCAGAAGCAAGGGATCATCAAAATTCTAGGTGTCCTCTGAAGTGAACATATAGTCTAATATGGCTAATGCATAGATTTGAAGGCAGAGGTGGGATGAAGTTTGTGGACATGGTGAACAGTAAGACTTGAGGGCTAGCCAGCAACAAGATCATGGAGCACAAAGTAGTCAATTCTTCAACCTAGAGGCAAGGGAAATCGCTATAGACTGACAGAAGATGGCCGCTCTGATCAGCAATTAAGATTATGCATTAGAGGGGCAGGCCCCGTGGCTGAGTGGTTAAGTTCGCGCGCTCTGCTGCAGGCAGCCCAGTGTTTCATTGGTTTGAATCCTGGGCGCGGACCTGGCACTGATCATCAAGCCATGCTGAGGCAGCGTCCCACATGCCACAACTAGAAGGACCTACAACGAAGAACATACAACCATGTACCGGGGGGCTTTGGGGAGAAAAAGGAAAAAAAATAAAACCTTTTAAAAAAAAAAAAAGATTATGGATTAGAGCACTTCCTCCAACGGGACACCATTCAGATTGATTATATTTATTAATGTATGCGAGAGAACACGGGAGGTGTGTGGCATCCTTATTGAGTCAAGGAGCAGCCAGGAGAGCCCCCTCCTTCATAAAACCCCACCAATACACAATCATACACAAAAGCAGGAGAGCAGACAAGCTCACTCACCACACATGCAGGGGGCATGCAACTGTACCCTGTCAGGAGAAGCCTCCAGGAGTCCCTGCTATTGCTTCTCTCTATATTGATTCTGAATATAATAAGCTTACCTCATCTCCTGGGAAAGGGGGGCAAGCAGAGTGAGTGTGCTGACCACTGTTTTCTCTAGTGCTAGGGAGCTGGATGTCAAGAGTACAACAGTAGGTTCATTGCTTCATGCATGCAGGCAACTGGACAGCTCCACACCAGGGTTTTAGAAAGTACCCTGGGAAGATCCCAGCCTACTGTCAAAAGTATGATCCTCACACCAGGGCTTTGCCTGATTCCTAAAAGAAGAACATGTTTTAGCCTATAATGTAAAGAGAAGCTTAATTTTTGGAACTAAGTTACAACCTACTGTGCAAACCCCAGCACCAGCACTCACTATACTCCTCAAACGTGAGAGCCACATCAGGAGTTGCCTAACACTGGCTGGAGGAGGCAGCCACCAACAATCATACTTTTTTCCATCATCTATATGGTACAGGTTATACAATAATAAATTTTAAAATTTTATACTTGAGGAAAGTCATCCTTACCTAATTAACAAAAATGTGTTTTGGGGACTGGCAGCAGCTCCTAGGAATCTACTGCTATGGTCCTGTTAGAGATAACAAGAGCCTGGTATAGTGGCGGTAAAAAAGAGGAGGTGACTTTGAGAGATGTTAAACAGGTAGACTCTTCAGAAACTTAGAGGCTAACTGGAAGAAAATATGAGGGTGTGAAATGGGAAGGCCTCTATTGTACAGGTTTCTGGCTTGAGAGCCTGAGTACAGAGAAGATCCATTGACAGAGATAAGGGACAGTGTATGACTTTGAGGTGTAGACCTTGAGGTGTCAGAGGGATGTGTCGGTAGAATTGTGAAGCAGGCAGTTAACCTAGGAGTCATTCAAGTGGTAGGTGAAACTATGAACTCTAGCCCAAGAATGGGGTGGAAGTGGAGGGGTGTTTGACAATGGAATTTGAGATGTAGTCAGAAATGAGGCATGAGAATAGAAACCTAGGAAGTTGGAACAGGTAGAAAATAGTTAAGATTTCAATTAAGGTCAAGTAAAATGAGGACTATAGTGGGTTTTTTTATTGAATTTAGAAACTAGGAGATGAGTAGTAGCTTTTTCCAAAGCCATTTTGTTAGAGCAATGGAGCCAGAATCTTGACTGCAGTGAGCTGAGAGCATCTGGGATGAGAGGAAGGGGGAATGTGCCACAGACAATTCATTTGAAGAGGTCGCCTATGAAGGGAGGACAGGGCTGTGGTGGTAGAAATGCAGAAATGGTGACAGAGTTAGAACTGTGTTTTGTTTCCAAATGGAAATGGAAGAGTGGATGTAAAGGGGTTGTTTGTAAATGCAGCTCAAAGAGAAGGGATGAAAACTCATAACCATGTTCCTGCTCTACCGATATCAATGTAAATCACTCAGTAGAGAGAGTACTGAACTTAGTATCAGAAAAACCAGAGGCTGAATGCTACCTCCATTCAAGGTACACTTCATCAGGTCACTTTACCTCTTTAGTCCTCGGTGTTCATTTCTGGGAGACAGGACCACTAAGATCTATACTACAATGTGTTGTAAGGACTAGATGAGAACACTTGTGGGAGAGTGCCTGGTGCAGTGGTGCAGTACATGTTCAGTAAATGGGAATTCGAGTCATTATCCCATCAAAGGTCTGAATGGGGACCATGAATGTAATCACTGTTGATTTCTTTACCATTTTTGTTCATATAATTTTTATCTCTTTAGGAATTTGGTGACAGGCTCTGTTAGTCTGTTCCTCCCTTATATGAAGGACAGACCAAAGATCCAGTCTGGAAATGAGAGAGGAAGACTAGTGAGCGACATTGGCTCCATTCATTGATATCTCCCAGAGGTGCAGAAACTGGATTCATGAAGATGTTGACAAGACTCCAAGTTCTTACCTTAGCTTTGTTTTCAAAAGGATTTTTACTCTCTTTAGCGGACCATAACTTTCTGAGGAGGGAGATTAAAATAGAAGGTGACCTTGTTTTAGGGGGCCTATTTCCTATTAATGAAAAAGGCACTGGAACTGAAGAATGTGGGCGAATCAATGAAGACCGAGGGATCCAACGCCTGGAAGCCATGTTATTTGCTATTGATGAAATCAACAAAGACAACTACTTGCTACCAGGAGTGAAGTTGGGTGTTCACATTTTGGATACATGCTCAAGGGACACCTATGCATTAGAGCAATCACTGGAATTTGTCAGGGCGTCTTTGACTAAAGTGGATGAAGCTGAGTATATGTGTCCTGATGGATCCTATGCCATTCAAGAAAACATCCCACTGCTCATTGCAGGGGTCATTGGCGGCTCTTACAGCAGTGTTTCCATACAGGTAAGATTGGCCAGTGCTATTGCGAAAATGCTCTGTCTCTGGTTTTATGTCTTAGGAGAACAAAAGGAGAATATCCTAATAACTTCACTAATAGATGATGTGAACAATTACATTGTTCATTTCTGTGGGTATTTGATAATGTAAGTTTGTATACAGAACAGTTCTTTAGTAATGAAAATTGTTTAGAAGTATATCAGATAGCTACTGAAGCATAACAACTTACCCCAAAATTCAGTGACTTAAAACAACTATTATTTATTATTATAGTCTACAAATCTGAATATTGGCTGGAGTGAGGTGATCAAAGCTAGTTTTATCTGGGTCTCTGCTCCAGGTTGTCCCTTACCCTCCACCTGGAATCAGCAGGCTAGCCCGGGAAGGTTCTTACCAGAGTGATGGCACAGGTGCAAAAGAATGCAAACTTTATTGCACAGGGCCCTCCCAAGCTGCTACTTCCATCACATCTGGTAACATCCCATCTGCCAAAGCAACTCACCAGGCTCAGCCCAGAGTCAAGGAGCAGGGAAATATGTGCTATACACAGTACAAGTGCTGCAAAGTTACATGGCAAAGGGTATGGATACATGGGGGAGTAATAATCTGAAGCCACCAATACAATCAACCACAAGATGGTACAGTACCACTGAGCTCTATTTTTTTCACACTAATTTTTACTAAAGCATCATTTTGTTCACAGATAAATGATAAAAAGTTTCTCATGGTATAAACCTGAAAATGTATGCAGAGAAGCTAGATTATTACTACCAACAAAAAAGAAGAAGGAACAATTTAGCATGCAACTTAAACTAGATGAAAAGCTGATAACTGGCTCTCATAATTTTGTTAGGGAAAGCAGGAACATACTATTGAAACTCTTGCAATGCCCACTTACAGGGTCACAGAATTTGAGAGATGGAAAATGCTGAGGGATCATCAAACTCAACCTTCTCATCTTCCCAAGCCCCAGACAAATTGATATCATGCAAACCCTCTTTGGTAGGTAGCACGAGAACTCAGATAGATCTTTTGTACTTTTGCGCTCTTTCAACTGTCCCATAAGATTTCTATACGTTACTTGAAGTTCAACATTTTTCTGGTGAGACCACTAATGTCACAGTAATAAAAGTCCATGATTCTAAAAGTTATATACTTTGCCTCATATCAAATTACTATAATCAAAGTCCCAAGCACTAAAGGAAGTCATATAATACTCAGGCTGTCTGTCTATGTCACAAACCACTTAAATTGGCTGTATTCACATTGGAATAACCTTATCTCTATATGCCAGATTCATGGCATTTAAAATTCTACGTACAATTCTGTGCTGTTCTAAATGAGCTATTTCAAATTTCTTTCCTTCTTCAGAGCACACACTCATATTATGAGTAATTAGGATAATTGGATTTTCATAAACACCCTTTGAGTTCATTAGATGGATAGAAAATATTGCACATCCCCAAGCACATCATGTTAATTTTTCCACTATCTCTATTCTTGGATCAGGAGAGATGGAATTTGCTATTTGAGAAGAGAGAATTAAAAATACGTATCTGTCATACTTCAAAAATTTTGCCAGATGAGGGCTAAACATTTCATAAATATTTATATTGTATCCACTATTACCACCAACAAAGGATTGCATATATGCCTTTCTGATCTCAGTTTCTCCCAGTGTAGTAAATAGCACTCTACAGCAGATGTGTAAATATCTATTTATCCAAAGTAATTAACAAACCGTGCCAGACAAATATTTTTTTAATTTAATTTTACTCTTCTATTACCTATATACTCCTCAAAAGAGTTTGGATTGTTTTAGAAAAAAAAATGTGGGCTATTAAAACTCCATACTTGTTTACAAGGAAAGAAGCCACTTCTTAATCAGCAAAGAATCTGTTTTATTATTTCATTCATTTGGTCCATATCACCATAAAGTCACAAATGCTGATATGGTTTTTGTCTTCACAGTATAAATAAAGAAACCAAAATTATCATGCTTTACTGAAAATAGTATAGAATTTAGCATCAGAAAGACTTGGGTTTGAATTCCAACTCCACCATTTACTAGCTTATCTGTAAAATAAAGAAAATAGCATCTACTTTAAAAAATTGTTGAGAGGCTAAATTGAGAAAATCTGTGGGAAACACATCACCAAAAAACTAATAGATTGAATAAATGGTAACTATAATGTCCCTAAAGTTATAGAAAGTCAGTGGAAGAGCCACATCTAAAACCAACTCCTCGGTCTTCCCATGAAGAGGCTGTCCCATGAAGTCATTGCTGCTCCCTCCCCCACGTGTTTCTTCAGCAAGTCAGCCTGTATAAAGCTCCTTCTGTGTGTCCTGTACTGATGCAGGGGTTAGAGAGACCACTAAAGTAGTAGAGAACACAGGCTTGACCTCAAGGAACTTGAAATTTGGCAATGGGTACAATACTACCATGAAATAACTGACTACAAATCAGAATATGTTCACGTGGTTCACGAGGTAACAATGACCTACAGAAAGATTTTGAGAATGACTGATAGAATAGAAAGTTGTATTTGAGGAAGACTAATTGGGCCACAGTGTGAATGAGACGCTGTCTGAAGAGGCTGATCAGAAACTTGTGGTAGGTGTCCACGTACAAGAGGACAAAGACCTTGACAGGAGTAAGGGGGTGAGCTGGAGAGGAAGGGAGGGAGAGGGCTTCACTCCTTCCTCTGTGGCCCCCAGGTGTCCTGACTGCTCAAGCTCAGGCCACACTCTGGTCTAGGCCGAGGTAAGCTGGGAGGTGGAGCAATGTGTCTATACACTGACTTCGAGGCAGCCTTCCAAGGAACCTTTCCCTACAGGGTCCTGCTTTCAGCTAGGCATCACGAACGAAAAGAGGTCTTAGGAGGCTCTTATATGGCTAGGAATTTAAGCGTCATTTTTTAAATACTTATCTGTCTTTTAATAAGAATTCTAAAAAATTGTCAAAAGCAATCCAAAGCAATAAATTCCTAATGGTGAATTTAAGGCACTTTTGTACATTAATGACAGAAACGTCTTAGCAGAAAGGATGTTTTGAGGTACCTCTCACACTCACCTACTTCTCCTGGACTGATTCTGATCATATAGTCTGGCATCTGGTAACCATGGTAACAGCGTGTAGCAGGTAGCCACAAAGATCCACGCATGTCAGTCAACTCTGCCATTCATTTTTGACTTCTTATGACTTCCTGAATATTTACTGGAAAGCGTCTTTGCTTGAACTGAGCAGGAGAAAGAAAGAAGATGAAGAAAGAAGTAGAAGAAATGTACTAGTAGAAATCCACCACACAATTTTAAAAATTCCTATCATGTAACTGTAGCATCCATTTCCAAACCAGAGCACAGAGTTTTCAGTCACAAAATTGCCTGGTGACAGAGAGCATTTTAGAGAATTATAATATTTGAGCATCTTCCCTTTTGTGGTTAGGTCAGTTTAGATCTTATAATCTCCCCATTTGGGCCTGTATTGCTTTATTGGCAGGATGACTTCAGGAGGCACTTTCCCTTCAGCTTTCTCTTCTTTCATTATCTTCCCATGAAAGGAGAAGAATTCTCCCCGGGGGTCAGCAGAGGAGACACCCCTTGCTGTGTTGGTTCATACAATAGGCATTGTTTGCAGACAGTGAAAACTGCATTAAAGGGGAAATTCTATTTTTTTTTATTGAGGTAACATTGGCATATAACATTATATAAATTTCAGGTGTACATAATTATATTTCAATTTCTGTGTAGATTACATCATGTTCACCACCCAAAGACGAAGTACCATCCATCGCCATATGCATGTGTCCTGTCACCCCTTTTGCCCTCCTCCTTCCCCACTTCTCCAAAGAAGAAATTATTAATGATTTGCTGGGTTAAGCTGTATCACCACTGATAAAGACTTGGATAATTATTTTCCCAAAGCTTTTATTAAGTAAGACAAACCACTCTGTGGGGGTCCCTTTTATAAAGCAACAGTATTGATTTCTTAATTTGGTAATCAATGAAAGCTAGCATCAAAATCCTTTTTTATTAGCAAATATACATGGGGGTCTATTCACCTCCTCTGGTGAACAAGTTCCTTTTCAAAGCATTTTTAAGACTGTATTCTGCTCCCCTTTATAAGCCTGCAAAAATCCACCCACTTCAGGGAAAATAGTATTTATTCCAGAAGAAAATCAAGCCAGTTGGCTTTAGCTAGGCAGTTGTCTACATGGTACTTCTTGTGAAGCGGTTTTTATGATTTTGAATTTTCAGATAGACTGTAATTTGAGCTCCTAAGTTGACCAGTCAAAATGTCCCTTGAAATGTTCCAAAAACATCTCTCACTCTTTTCCAAGGATGTCTCATTTCCTCAGTCTTTCTTGACTAGCCGAAGCAAATTTTAGCTGGAACATGACAAGTATAAGTTGACCCACTTATGGTTGTGTCCATGAGTGTTAAAATGACCTCAGCAACAAGTGAGGATTTAGATTAGATGGCATCGAAAAGCTAAGCTCATAGAAAGGGCAGAGAGAGACTTAAAAGGAACTTCCTACCTCTTTGCCATCCCTAGTATAATCAGACTCTTTTAGAAACTTTTGAGCAATATCCACATCCTAGGAAGCCTCTAATCCTGGAAGATGGTCACCATAGCATTGTTTATCATGACATGGATTTGGACATGCCATGGATTGCTTACATCATGTCTCTGAGAGGGATAACTCCTTAAACTAAATTCCTTGCAGTATGTTTCACAGATTTTTATCTTGATGGGATCAGGGGAACAGCACATAAAGACACCACTCTGTTATTCCTCCCCAACTTGATTCCACAGTGTGAAACTGGACCACCACTGGTCAATTTGTATTAAGCACTGCCCACCCTCCATGATTCGTTCCTCCTTTAAATTCAAATGCTTTGGAGAAGTCACACATGAATTGCTGCTCTGATTATAGGAGCATCAGAAAAATAGTTGAAGGACTTGGAGGTACAAAAGCCTTTATCTGGTTAGCTGTGCCCAAGAA